AAAAAAAATGTTGTGATCCCAAACTTTTAAATGGTATAGTGTATACTGTAGCGAATCAGCTCATGGGGAAATATGAATAATTAATCATAACTAGTTATAATTAATTATAAATATTTAGATCTGCTGTAGATATTTACTTGACCTCTCAGGGTCAACTGTCTGTCAATTCTAAGAACGTTAATTTCCTGGTTAAGGGAAATTACTTTCTTACTGTACAATTCTACTGAAGGATATGTGCGTTCATTCAAAGAAAGGTTTTCCTATGGATTAATTAGAAAAGTGTCAATTTCTACTGTGCACTGTGTCTCTTCCTATGGAAAAGGTAGTGATTTTCCCTACTCACATTCCATTAGGTCGTAAATGTATCTGGTGTCAGGGGTGCCATGGTAACCAGGGTCCTGGACCTTGTTCACAGACAACTTGGCACCCAGTATGTTTATTGGGTGAGGGGTCTGTGAACGTTTGTTAATCTAATGAATAATTGATTTGTTAAATCAAATGAAAAATGGTGTGTCTGATTGGTCCAGACGCTACAATAACTTTTTTATATATAAATATAATTTTAATGCCAAATGTGCTTGTTTCATACGTAATCCTTATAATTCACATACTAAAATTGGCGTTTGATCAAATAAAAGCAAAAATCGACCAGCAATAGGCAGCACAGCCAGTTCTTAGCACTCCAACACTGCCGGCTTGACACTTAATATATCATAATAACATCACTAGGGGCTTCCTTAATCACTTGGATTGGTTGTGAATGTGTTTGTAAGTGTTTTCAGAGAGACAAACTACGTTGAGCAGGAAGCAGTAGCAGAAAGCTCATTAATGTTTCAGAGACCTGGGGCAGATCAGCTGAATATTAACTAGGTCAGTGTTACACAACGACTGGACACCCTTCCCTCATGCTCTCTCTGCTACCATGGAGATGCCAGCATCATTCTCCTGCCTGATCTCTCTCTCCTTCACAACCGTGACAACTGTGGAACCCGGGCTGATGCTTTCAAAGTGAAAGACTTAGATGTTTTCCTAAAGGGGGAAGAATGCATGAAAGATCTAGTTTCTAAGCAACTGATGCTGTGCAGATACTAAAACCTTTACTTGCATCATACTTTACTGACTTAGATCACAGAACACTGTATTTTTTTTATATATGTTGTACAATGTATGCTAATTGGTGACTGATTTGGGGTTGTTATAGAAGAGTATATTCCAGGCCTTTAATCTGATTGGCTGAGCTGTGCTGCACGAGTGAGACTTTTTACAACACTGAGATGTTTGCTGTTTGTGTATTTGTCCATTATAGACTTAAGTTTCACTTACATACACTTTGACAATGTCAAATTAAAAGTTTTACTTTAAAGTACACATCAAATCATAATGTTTTAGCAATCTTTTGTTGTGACTTAAACACGTACACTTATTTTGATGTGTTGACTAACATACTAAAGCACATGTAACGTACTTGATCATAATATTATTATAACTGTAGTGTGTTATTCAATATTACATTTAAAGTTAATATTTTAAATGCAGTAAATTGCAACTTCATCATTACAAATATGAAATTGCATTTTAATAAATCAGATTTGAATACACGACAAGTTTCAATAGTATATTGACATTAACATATATTTTAGTTTACCATAAAAATTTGTCAGTACATTCAACAGTACAATTTAACCATACTTCAATAAAAGTCATTATGAAACTATATATTAAGTTGTACTTGGTTTAGGGGGAGAAAGAATTTTTGCTCAAAAATTGCTTTCACAATTAATTACAAAGAAACTGCAACAAAATTAAATGAATTAAATATGAAATTTTTAAGTAGAATGACAAAAATACTATTTTCTTATAAAAATCTTTGGTCAATTTATAACAAAAAATATGACAGTGTACTTAATTAAAGGGGTCATATGATGCTTTTTTAAAGATCATTATTTTGTGTATTTGGTGTAACAGAATATGTTGACATGCTTTAATGTTCAAAAAACACATTATTTTTCAAATACTGTACATTATTGTAGGTCCTCTATGCCCCGCCTCTCTCAAACGCTTCGTTTTCTACAAAGTCCCTCCTTCCGACAAGCGCAGTCTGCTCTGATTGGCCAGCTGACCCAGTGCATTGTGATTGGCCGAACACCACAAGCACTCGTCGGAAATGTAACGCCCCTTACCATAATCACGAGCTTCATCTTTCAAAATAAATGAAAAGTAAATATAGAAAATATTTAATATTTAACAAATATAAACATTTGTTTTCATGACAGAAGCTCCACAGTGTTCTGTCACTGTCATTCTGTTACACTGTGGAGCTTCTGTCATGAAAACAAATGTTTATATTTGTTAAATATTAAATATTTTCTATATTTAATACAATCACACCAGCGTGATTAGAACGTTCAGTGCGTCATATCATCAGCTGCTAAATTCAAATCTGCGTTCGCTGGCTGGCGCTGAGCCAGATACAGGCGTGTTTTTACAGCACTGCGCATTAACCAATCACACACGATGCTGTTGAGCTTATGAATGCAATGACCAATCAGAGGTGTTCAGATGAGTCATCGCTGAATACCTCTTTCTGGCGAATTGAACAAGGTGCAAATGTGTGTACGGATCTCTAAGATATTAATTTCATTGTGTAAACAGCTTCAGTGATTTTAATGGGAGTTTTTGAGAGTGCTTGAACTAGACTGTCAGTGGAAATGTTCTTTGATAATGTAAATGTTCTTTGCTCTCATTCTATAGGCTGTTATGATTAGTAGCCTAACTTGCAATGTTTTTATTCACATTAATTTTCAATGTTAAATTCACATGAAATATAAACTCAGTCATATTAAAAATGTTATGGCATGACATCCATATATGTTAATTAAGTAAACAGGCAGGTTTTTATGCATAGTTAAGAGATCACATTATACTATAGATCAACATAATCTATAAAGGTGAGAATCAAGATATTTCACGATATAGTTAATGCGTTTGGGGATGTTTCGAATAAAAAGGAAAAAAATAAATAAAGCATAAGTGCTGTTGTGGCTGCTGTGTGTCACATGACCCTTCCCCCACCCCCCCACTCGTGCCCCCTCAAAAACAAATGACGTCCCTGTTCTATAGTATGCTACAAGTGACTGGAAAAGGATTATGTCATTATTCATTTACAAATGTTAAAATTTTGAAACAGGGAATATAATCCCAATCAAGCTTCAAATGTGTAGATGCATCTTAACTTGGGCACTACGAGAAGCTAATCTCTATTGAGGAACAAAAAAGCAAGTTGCAATTTCAGTTTTGATATGGCCATTAGTATATGCTAATATAAGATTTCATAATAGGCACTGGGCTCATATTGGCTGTTATAATTTCCCTGAGGAGCTCTTGAGGTATGAACACAGTAAAATACCAGCCTTAGCAGACCAGTGATTTCACAGACAAAACTCAAGCCTTCCAAGTACAGTATAATTAGAATTATTAGAAGCTGCATTTCAAAGATCACACAACTTCAAAGCTTTATTGCTGATTTAAAATATGGTGGTCCACCTGAACAATGACTGACTTGTTATAGCTAGGCATCAACTATTTCTTCAGCATGACAATATATGAGAATGAATGTTTGGGTGCTTTTTGAAAAGGTATATAACGGATCATAAAATGTGACCTTCATAATGCGAGTCTGCACTTCAGAGCTGATTTTACTTCACATTCTCAACTGTAGCCAACAAAACTGTATACATTTGTACTTAAAGATATGTGGTCATGGTCCCAAAACAAAGCTGGGATCACAACAATCTGCTCCCTGCAGGGAATGTCATTTAATTAGGCTCAAATTGGCAATCCTCAGTATGTCTCACTGTAAACCTACTAAACATTTAAAGCATTAGGAGAAATATGCCAACAGGAAACTGATACTGAGCTAATCTGCCTGTTTACTTATATACTTTAGGGAGAAAATGTCCTAAATCTGACAAAATATCTTCCTCTGGGGACATCAGGGAACATTCTCTATGGTAATGATGATTGATAAATACAGTAAATGTTTTTTGAAACTGAAAAAAAGGTTTGAAGGATAGAGTTAATAATTACAATTTTAAATTATTCAAATAATTATAATTAACATGATATATGAAAATAGTAGTGTAAGCAGTGTTTGTGTCCATGTGTCTGTTTTAAATGGACAACTGACATAAATTATTAAAGACATCTACTATAGGGAAAACTGATTCATAATTTACGGCTTAACAATGAATTATTTCAGAGCTGCTGGAAAAGTTGTTAAGACAACACCAGCAAAAAAAAAAGGAATATTAAGAATATAATTTTATGAATATTTGTAATTGGCTGAGAAGATACCCTGTGCAGTACCTTATTGTTATATTTAAATTATATACACTACCATTTAAAAGTTTGAGGTTAGTAAGGTTTTATTTATTTTTAAAAGAAATGAATACTTTCGTTCAGCAAGTATGCATTAAATTGATCAAAAGTGACTGTAAATACATTTATAAGGTTTCTAAGCAACTGACGCTATAATGTAAAAGATTTCTGCTGATTTTTGATTGTTGTATTCATCAAACAATCCTGAAAAAATGTATCATGGTTTACAAAATAATAATAATAATAAATAAATAAGAATACTTTTTTATAATTTTTTTTTACATTGATAATAATAAGGAATGATTCTTGACATATTAGACTGGTTTCCACAGGATACTGAAGACTGGAATAATGCTGCTAATAATTCAGCTTTGCCATTACAGGAATAAATACAATTTTAAAATATATTCAAACATAAAACAGATATTTTAATTTAAAAAGAAAATGTCACAATATTATTGTCTTTTACTGTATTTTTCATCAAATAAATGTAGCCTTACCAACTCCAAACGTCTGAACACTATAGTGTGTTTTTTTTTTGTAAATTTGCAACAAAAAAAAAAACTTCCATAGCAGGACACAAAATTTTGTAAAGAAATGAATTTTTCCACAATGCCTCTCACCTGTCACAGCTGGAGCCGTGGGCACCGAAGGAGTCACATGCGCAGGGCAGGCAGCCGATGGTGCCGTTGGTGAAGTGATCTTCCTCACACTCTTCACACTGCAGCCCAGTGTAACCCGGCATACAGTCACACTGACCTGTCTCACGGTCACACTCGTCAGGGTCCGACACTCCTTCACCACTGCAGTTACACACCAGCTCTTCAGAGGAAACACACACAAAGGATTGCTTATATATGAATTTTTGACAAGCAAAGAGGGGCAATGCTAAGAAAATCAAATACTGATATAAAGCACCAACAAAGTCATCCTGTATATCTGCTCTCCCTAATATCTTAATGGTTTCCCAGCTATTTATTTATTTTTGTCTTAATTTAAACCTAACTTAATGTCAAAAATATTTATCATCATCACTGAATCAACCTAAATATATTAGGTTACAACAATAAAACTAAATGTAAGAGTTGGATCAGGTTGAAGTAGCTCTGTATGGCAACAACTGCTACTATTTTTTTTACAATGTAGGTTTAACAAAGCAAAATCTTTCCAACAGAGCCCCTTTGGGGTGTACACATACCCCATACTAATGGAGAAACAAATGATAAACTGTTACCCGTACAGCGTTGAAACTTAAAGTCCTGTTAATGCAGCATTGCTGCTCTGTAGTAAATCTCTCCTTCAAGTTCAAGTCCGCTACGCTTCACAGTACTCCATCTTGCTGATCTCTGCCAGCTATAATAAATGACTCCCTGCAGCCTGATTCTTTGATAGCTCATTAAGTTGATATTAGACTGAGAGAGTGCAGATCTTTAGTATGCAGGAGAGGATGTAGGTCCTTGGAGAAAAAACACAAACTCTAAAGACAAATCAGGCAAATTCCGGCTGCTGGGAACAACTGAAGCTTGTGCAATTCTATATCAACTGAAGTTAAATCAAAGATGATTTTCCAGCAGTGTTGCTGCAATATTTAAAAATCGATCTGAATTATTTGGCTCAGAATTATTGAGTTGACCAGCAACATCTGGATGTGGAGACCAGCTGCAATTAGATCTGGAATGGAATATAGTTGGTTGTATATGTTTTTTTATTTATTTAGGTACAACTGGCAGAGACAGTAGAGAGCCAGAATTGAACCTGTCTTTCCCAGATGAACGGCATGTGCTAACTGCTAGGCCAGAGCTCCTCTATGTTTGCTTACGATCAAATGTGTTTGATCTCAAAAAAGCAAAGGGGGCTATATTTACAAAAATGTAAATCTGAAAGAGCGCATAATTCAAGCAAAGAATAAAATATATTAAAATAGAAAACACCTAATTTAAATTGTAAAAATGTTTGTATAATATCACTGTAATTTTTATCAAATAAATGAAGCATTGGAGACTTCTTTAAAACAAAAACCCACCAAATGAAGCTATTTGACTGGTAGTGTATATATAACAACACAATAATCAATGCACTCAGTCAGTAAGGCATAATGTACATCCAGCCGGTTATCTCAGAATACACCCCGACAGGGTGATCAGGATCAGGTCTTGTATCAGCCTGAAGGGGTTGCCACATAAGTAAATAATTAGACGCGAAATATTGATTTGAGATATTTGAACGCAAAGCTTCCGTGAAGACAACAGATGCGAGCAAGTGGCAAATTCAAACTAGACGGACATTTAATGGAAAAGGTGCAGTCAAACCACTTATTACACAACATTTCACCACAAAAATAATTAAGGCAATAAAAGAATTAAGACGAAAATGTTTTAAAACCTTACCAGTTTGTTAGTTCTCTTATAATCCATTACAGCGTGCAAAACAATCGTAGCAAAATGACAGCAGCTGTGTTTGTATGAAACGAGAGCGAGTCCGCAAAACCAGGATGACACAATTAAATAATTGTACACCATTTTGAATCGAGTTTTAATATTTTATTAGCTAAACAAACGCAAAGCTTCCACCAAGAAAAAATAGTTCAAGCAAGAGTACAGCGCCGACTGCTGTTACCCAGATGAGCCGGTTGTTATCGAGGGATAGCATACATCAGAATGTCGCGATTGACCGATCAGAATCGAGTATTCCACAGTAATAACCTCTATTAACGAACACAGTCAATGTAATGTTTCCAATAACATTAAAGGGGTCATATGATGCGATTTAAATTTGTCCTTTCTCTTTGGAGTGTTACAAGCTCTTGGTGCATGAAGAAGATCTGTAAAGTTGCAAAGACTAAAGTCTCAAATCCAAAGAGATATTCTTTTAGACACATCTTTCAGACAAACATATTCTTCTGTCCATTAGTTGCAGTGGAAACGGCACTTATCCTACTCCAGCATACAGACACAAGTGCAGGGGGCAAAGAGAGTTCACTGGGCCATCTAATGCACAGCTGTTATGATCTAGGTCAAAGTCGCTCACCTCTAAAATCATACACATCATAAAGAATTTATCTTTTTCCATTAGAATATTTCAAATGTGCAGTCAGATGCCCCTCTAGCTAAAGTCTTATACATAACAGGAAAGCTCTGACAACTGCGAAATGCATCTGAATTAGTAAAAGAAACATGTAAACAGATGTCATTTCTAGGGTTGTATACCATTCAGAATTTAATCGCCTTTTTTAGCAATGCCTTTTAAATTCCAATTCAGTTCTTGAATTTGAATTGATGTAGCAAACTAAATTATAATTTTAAGAAAGTCAAATAAATATGGAAGAAAATGAAAAGAAATGTATAATTAAACATAAAAATTGTACTTATTGTAGTTTTCAATAATAATTTCATTTTTCTGTATATGAACTACCCTACTATATGTTTTCATATATAACACATATGGAGTATTTCCATTAGATCATCAGAAATTACATAATAAATTAAAGCTTAAAATAATTATAAAAAAATTAAAACAGCAAAATCAAATAATAAAATCAATAAAACGTAAAACTAAAATTAAATGAAAAAATATATATATAATAGTGTGAAAAAGTGTTGGCCCCCTTCCTGATTTCTTATTTTTTTGCATGTTTGTCACACTTTAATGTTTCAGATCATCAAACAAATTTAAATATTAGAAAAAGATAACACAAGTGAACACAACATGCAGTTTTTAAATGAAGGTTTTTATATTAAGGGAAAACAAAATCCCAAACTACATGGCCCTGTGTGAAAAAGTGTTTGCCCCCTAAACCTAATAACTGGTTGGGCCACTCTTAGCAGCAACAACTGCAATCAAGCGTTTGCGATAACTTGCAATTAGTCTGTTACAGCGCTGTGAAGGAATTTTGGTCGACTCATCTATGCAGAATTGTTGTAATTCAGCCACATTGGAGGGTTTTCGAGCATGAACCGCCTTTTTAAGGTCATGCCACAGCATCTCAATAGGATTCAGGTCAGGACTTTGACTAGGCCACTCCAAAGTCTTCATTTTGTTTTTCTTCAGCCATTCAGAGGTGGACTTGCTGGTGTGTTTTGGATCATTGTCCTGCTGCAGAACCCAAGTTCGCTTCAGCTTGAGGTCACGAACAGATGGCCGGACATTCTCCTTCAGGATGTTTTGGTAAAAGGAAGGGGGCCAACACTTTTTCACACCACTGTACACACTCTGACATTCAAAAATTGCATAAGCCTAACACACCAACAAAATGTCATCTAATTCAAATTCCAGAGCAACATTCAGTTCGCAAATGGATGTGGCTGATTCGTTCTAAAATTCCAACTCATGAATGTAAAGAGAGTCAATTTTTAAATTCTGAATTTGCCCAACCCTGGTCTCTTCACAATAAAAATGCCATCTGGACATTTTAGACACTTTTTTACAAGATGCCTGTATAGTGAAGCATATCACTCTAAATGTAAGTGTATTTCTATTTAGTCTCCATTCTGAATTCTTAGCCCACTTTCTCTGGCCCTTAAGCTGTTATCTAAAGGGCTCCCATAGCACTTCATAGTGTCCTAATAAAGGTGGTCTTAGACACAGTCCATGCTTTTGTGAACATTGTCTCCCAGATATAACCTCACCATCAGGAACAATGGCTGTGGAATGTCTAATCACAATGGCAGGGCAGGGAAGGGTTAAACATTAATTCTGAATTTGCCCAACCCTGGTCTCTTCACAATAAAAATGCCATCTGGACATGTTAGACACTTTTTTACAAGATGCCTGTATAGTGAAGCATATCACTCTAAATGTAAGTGTATTTCTATTTAGTCTCCATTCTGAATTCTTAGCCCACTTTCTCTGGCCCTTAAGCTGTTATCTAAAGGGCTCCCATAGCACTTCATAGTGTCCTAATAAAGGTGGTCTTAGACACAGTCCATGCTTTTGTGAACATTGTCTCCCAGATATAACCTCACCATCAGGAACAATGGCTGTGGAATGTCTAATCACAATGGCAGGGCAGGGAAGGGTTAAACATCTGTAGTACTTGTTGCCTGTTTCTGATTTGGAAATGCATTGATGTTTTTTCAAGATAATTTCTAAATGTGTGTAAACATCTAAACCCATGCAGCATAAAATCACTGGGGTCAATGACCCCTTTGTAAATGCACTGGTGATAACTGTATCTTGGGGATTTAACATTATTATGGAAAAGTAGGCCAAGTCTACAGATACTTCCATATGAACAATTGATGCACCCAAACGACCATTTCATGCAAGATTTATGTAGACTTCACTCTCATTAACAGTGTGACCTGGTTCTTTAACACATACACACAGTGACTAATCTGTGGCCTTTATTTCCTACCAGCGATTACCAGCAGCACACTAATGAAACCATTCTAACAGCAATGTAAATAACCTCAGCTGAATATATACTGGAAAAATACTAGCTGATGCTGTCCTTTATCTGATACAGCCCACAGGTCCTGAATCCCTTCATAATGAAGGGGTAAAGTCAGGACAGATAAACAACTGAGTCTGACTATTTAGGACAAATACCCTGCAGCTCAATCAATGAAGGGCCTGTATGAGCACATTACAATATGATTTGCCATATTATATCAATGGATAGGCACTTACCCAGCATTAGACATCATAAGATAGACTGTTGCATAATAATTTTATGTAAATAAAAAAAAGTCAAGTTGTATATTAAATCATTGCATGGATGGATGGAAGGACAGATTTAGACTCTATGGCTGATATAGGCAGATGATAGATAATGGACAGACAGACAGATAAATAGACAATTAGATAGATAGATAGATAGATAGATAGATAGATAGATAGATAGATAGATAGATAGATA